ATGAGATATTGCTAATTTCAATCTTTCATAGTCTATGTAGAAATCCTTCCACTCATGCACAATAGCATTTTTTAAATATTTTGAAAACCCCATAGAATGGGTGCAAAAAAAGAGGAAATTAAGAGGAAAAAAACATCGGATCATAAAGGAGAACATTCAAAAAAGAATGGAGTAATAAAGGACATTCAAACACTGACAGGAAAGTTTCAAAGCCAGGATATAAATGTAGATAGTGCACTTGAAGGATCAGAGATATGCAACCCAATAGCTAATAACACATTGTCTAGTAATATAATGGACAACAACTCTTTGATAGTTGAGAGTATAGATCTTATCAGTATCAACTACAATCACTTGGCAAGGTTTGAAAAAAATATCGAAAAGTTAAAATATCAATTTGAAACCATTGAAAAGTTTATTAGACAACAAGAATCTGTATTCATGAAAAAATAAAGAATGTTGTTCTGTACTATTATATGGTTTGATCTAGATACATTATTAGTTTTTACCAATGGAAGCATATGGTTGATATTTGAAATATTGCAATACCATTCAAAAATAATTTATTAACTCGTTTATGAATAAAAGATAAGTAAATTATTTTTGAATTTAACATACAGATTACCATTCCAAGGGGATTATATTACACTCGTGTTTATAAAATTTCCTAATATGCTTACTGAATTCTTTTAATTTGAAGATTATAGAAATAAATGATCAAATCAGTGGGGTGACAGAATATGTGAACCTAAAAATATCAGCTATCTTAAAATTGATTTATTCAGATTTACTGGGTAATAATAATCCACGTAGGAGTTTGGTATACCTTACTATCGTAGGGAAGGGTAATATCACAATTGCAAGTATATTTGCTATCACTATTACAGTTAGCGCATAAAAAATTGGATCTGAATAAAGCTGGGGATCTGACAAGTCAGACATTATTGGTAGTACATATGCAACCAAAAGTCCAAGGATCAAAAACACTTTAACCAGCCATACTTTTTTTTTCACCATGCGTGATGATATTATGTACCATGTAATATTAAATCCAAGTGTTAAGAAAGTCCAAATTGAAACTTCAGCCATGGATATATTAAGTGTATGGTTAACTACAGGGTCTATAGTTGTTGTAATGTTCGTATTTGTGGGGAATTCACTACTGATGGTTGGGCTCAGTGTAGAAGAACCATTAAATAAGGTTGATATCGATACCATTAGGGCATCAGAATTTTTTTGAATAAAAATCCTTTTTATCAATTTTTCAAGGTAAAGTAATTTTTTCATTAAAATCATCAATGCAATTCCAACTATCTTATCGATATCTAGTCATGAAACCAAGTGTTTATAAAGCAGAAGATATATTTTTAAGATAGTTTAATTATTGTTCCATTTTAATTTAAAGAAGTTCTTTTGTAGGTTTCTAGAATTTTCATATCTTCAAGTTACCCATTTATCTAATTATCTCTCTTCTTTGAGTTAAAAGAGATTTATAACTGTCATCAAAGTTCTTTAAGGTAAATATGATTATTTAATTACTTGTTAAGGGAAAAAAAAATTGGAGTGATTTAAACCAGGTTATACAAATCAAACGAAAAATAGTATTTTGGAAAGAATATGTATAAAGCTTCTAATACGACTATCTAATCTGATTAGGATACCATGAATACTTCAATCAAACCAAGTGGCAGGGTTTAATCTCGATTTGCTTGAAGTAAAATATCCCTCAATGCCCTCTTTTTCCAAACTCCATCATGCAATCAGAAACTTCTCAAAGAACAGAGACAAAAATAGTTCAAAACATACAATTCTTGGAACACTATAATCAGATCCTCACAATGACACTAAATGTGTTGGTATATATTATGATACACTTGTCCCAAATAAAAAAATTCCAGTCATTAAACTAACTTTATTGATACAATAAATCATTATAACATATTATGCCGACATTACCCATTTACATACCATACATCCCGCTATACACAATACCAATCCACAAGCTATCACACCTACATAGTATAAACCACCTGTTTTTTGATTGGGAGACTGACTGGGCTTGTCTTTTTTGAATAGTTTGACTTGTTCAATCTTTTCAGGTTACCACTTTGGATGATGACACATCTGATGAAGTAGGAATGGTATCGAAACACTCCAGAGATTTTTGAAAATCATCTACATCCCCATACTTACTTTTCAAATACTTGCTCACTATTGATATCTCTGTCTCTTTGATATTAAAAACGGCTAAGGTAAATGGTTTTCGTAAAACAACCATTGGATTTAGTGTTGAGCTTTTTACCTTTTCAACAGTCAAAAAAGCATCTCTTTTTATATTGGTTTTTTGTGGGGATGAATCTATTATTGCTGCCATGCTTTTAATCCTTACCTGCCATTGTTCATTACAAACTTCTTTTATAGGTCGGATTGCCTTTAAATCCTCCGAAACCAAATCTAAAACTCTTTCTCTAAAAGCAACAAGATTGCCTGGCAATAGAGAATATGAGTCAACAAGTACAGGCTTGGGTGCATCCCCTACATCCTCTGCTGATTTTCGAGTAGGTTCTACAAATATCCCCTCTTTCTTATCATTCATAAATATGAGCATATTTTTAGAAGAAACACTGTGCATAGATGCATTGATGATAGTGGCTGGCTGTATAGTGTGTAAAGTGTCCATGTTGTTCTGAAATGCCATATCAAATATGTTTTTGTAAAACGGCAGCAATGAATAGCATTTCTTACAAATCGTAATTTTGTCTGAATAGGTCCCATGGAAATCTGCCTTTAGATCCTCAATTTTATCACTCATAATACAGAATATATAGTCTTTTGAAGCTGAGTTTTCCAAATCTTTATCACTAGGATCTCTCAATGATATAAATACGGTGTCTTGCATCACAAATTGAAAACCACAATCATACAAATATTCATCACCTTCCCCGTGATCAACTATCTCAAGCTCAAAGCGCCTATAAAAATGGGTTTTGCCCAAGTCAATCTGTGGTCTATCATCCATATTGGTGGTATTGGAATGTGAACTGTCTGTTTCATCTTGGACAGCACACTCTGCATTACTCAAAAATACAAATTCTAAGATTAATGGTAAGAATAATCTCATACAGCGGTAAAAAAAATGGGTTAAAAGTATTTTTCCAAAAATGGGAAATTGATTATAAAAATAATTTCAGATTGAGTTTTTGGGTACATTCCATATGGCGATCTTTGTAGCCAATACCATAGAGGCTTATAGAATTGGCTAATTTATCACCTGGTAGACATCCATAAGTTATAATTTTGTAGAAAATGGAAATATCACAATATCAACCATTATGAAAATTTCCATATTGGGAAATTAATATATTTGAATCAAATACTGAGAATATGTAAATGTCTATTAAATCCAGTTAAATACTTGTAGAGTAATACCTAGTTGTTTATTAGACTGATTTAAATAACTTTACCAACTGATATTTGTATGATATTCAATCCAGCACTTCTTCTCTAATGATTAAGACATACCATAATATGTATCTTATACACCCTGATAGATTGTATCTAATTCTTAATGATTAAGACAACCGTAGTATGGATCTAACTTATAATGAAAATTTATTTATTGATACAATTAGTAATTTGTACAAAAAGTAACAGCCATTTTTCCAAATTTTCCTTTCTGAAGATACTTGGAAATATTCTTTCCCTCTCAAAATTCACTTGCTCCGATGAATCAACTTCTATTTTCCCATGTATGTCATCCACTCGATTGTTATAGTCATTAAATAGTATGTTTGATAGAAATAAATATTCTGGTGGTGATTTGGGTATTAAAAAATTCTTATTCTCAGAAAATGGTGACTCCAGTCCAATATCCTTCAAAGAAGTAGACTCTATATTATGAGTATTTTGACATATATTACCAACAGTATTTGAGCCAAGTGTATTAACTATAATGGCATATGCAATCATTTTCCTTATTTGGTGGAGTAAAAAGCTTGCACCATGAATTTGCACCTCCACATATTCAACTCCACAAACTATGATGGTATCGTTCAGATTAATTTTGTAGATTGTACGATGTGGTGATCCATTAATTTTTGAAGATGTAAAGTTATGAAAGTTCTTACATCCCAGAAAAATAGATAGGATTTTTTGGAAGTTTTCAAGAGCTCCTTTAGATGCTCGATAAGTATTTACTTCATCTATAATATTGTTTGTGAATTTCAATCTATCAACTTCGTAATTTTTTAGATTTTCCTCACTGATATATTCATTTCTGCCGACATTATTGTCCAATTCCTTGCATTCTTCCAAATTCAAGAACTCATCCGCCATATTAGACAAATCCAAGAGATTTGCTGCTAGATTGTTCGACTTCGGAAACACTGGTAGACTTTTCTTCATTTTCTCCAAGATAGCTTGTCCATTTTCTATGAAATATGTCGGTACAAAATATTTGTAGATTCTGCTGCGAGCAGCTTTGTATCCAATAAACTTCTTCGGAAGTTTTACAATTTTGTATACAAATATATTAAAGTTGATCAGTTTAGATTGCAGAAGCTGGACTAGTGCTGGAGTAAGTTCTTGTTGAATCTTGCAGGATACAAGGTTGAATGATGCATGTACTCCTTTGTCAGTTCTAGAAGCAGATTTTAAGTCAATTTTCGAAGCATCAGTTGCATTTAATTCTGTGATACAATTGCACTCAAAAAGAACCTTTAGAACTGTAGCTTCGATTGTATGAAGAGACTTATTGAACTGGATACCAGAGAATCCTTCCCCATTATATCCAACAAGCAAGCCAATTTTGATTTTCATAAAGAGGGCTGAAAAATAAGTTTCTTTCACTAAACCATTTTAAGATAGAATCAGTGCCTCAAAGTGAGATTTAAACAATATCCTGTGTACTTATTTAAGATATGAAAATTATTATCAAAACAAAACTTAATACATCATATTACTTTTTCTTCAATTACAAAAGGAAAGGTATTAAATAATATTTAATTATTTTCAGGCTTCATTGTGGGAAATAGAATTACATCTCTTATGTTGGCTGCATTGGTCAAATACATCACCAGCCTATCGATTCCAATTCCACATCCTCCAGTAGGTGGAAGTGCAAACTCTAATGCCTGACAGAAATCTTCATCGGCTGGCATAGCCTCATCATCCCCAGCATTGGCATCGGCTGCTTGCATTAAAAATCGCTCTCTCTGAACGTCTGGAATATTCAGCTCAGTGTAGGCATTGCAGATTTCTTTTCCATTCAAGAACATTTCAAATCTCTCGGTAATACCCTTTCTGTTTCTATCATCCTTTGCTAGTGGTGACATTGCAACTGGAAATCCAGTTACAAATGTGGGATTAATGCATCTAGGCTCAATATATTCCCCAATGAATGCATCCAGAACTCTATTCAAGGTTTTCGGTTCTGAGATTTCCAAATTATTCTTTTCTGCAGCTTCTATCAAAAGTTCCAAATTTTCTGGTTTTGAAATATTCTCTCCCGTCAATTGCAACCTCAGAATAGAATTAATCTCCTCCAAAATATCAAGTCTCTGGAAAGGGGTTGAGAAATCCAAATCCACCTTGACTTCTTCTCCACCTCTCTTCAATGGCTCGTAGGTAAACTTCTTCGATCCCTTTGCTTTAACTACCAATTTGCTTAGGAGATCCTCAACAATATCCATCATATCCCTGTAATCCACATAAGCCATGTAGAATTCAATTGATGTAAATTCTGGGTTGTGGGTCAAGTCTATTCCTTCGTTTCGGAAGTTTCTACCTATTTCGAACACTCTATTCATGCCCCCTATAACCAACTTTTTCAAAAATAGTTCTGGAGCAACCCTCATGAACAGATCCAGCTTCAATTCGTTGTGATGGGTAACAAATGGTCTAGCTGCTGCACCACCTGCACTGACACTCATCATTGGGGTCTCCACCTCAATAAAGTCCATTTCATTAAAGTAATTTCTAATGTGACTGATAATCACAGAACGATCGAGGAATCGCTTCATACTATCTTTGTTTACAATAAGATCTATATGCCTCTTCCTATAAATAGTCTCAGGATCAGTTAGTGAGTTTCTATTCGAGGGAATTACTCTCAAACATGGAGAGAGAATGGTCATGGCTTCCACAAACACTGACGGCTCGCCAGTCTTTGATTTGCCATAGTGTCCTTCAAAGCCTACAATATCCCCACGTTTTACGAAATCTGCAATCTTTTTCTGCTCATCAGTCTCCTTGTACAAAATGATTTGTAAATCAACAAAATCAGAAGTCAAAGTCAAAAAGCTAAACTTGGCATGGTGTCTGATAGTGGAGATCCTCCCTGCTGATTTAACAACTAAGTTGGATTTCTCAGCAACTTCACATTTATTAGCCAACTCCTTAATATTTCTAAATGAATCTTTTGCATCAAACTTATGTGGATAAATCTCCATACCCTCTTCCTTTGCTTCTCTAATTTGCAGGGTTCTCTGTCTGAAAAACTCTTCTTCAGAAACCTCTACTTCTATATGCTTTGCCATTACGGTAAATTTTTTGAAAAAATAATAACATTTGTGCCAAGTTTAGAAAAATTACAAGGAATCACCATGGTTAGAAGAAGTTATAGAATATCTGATTGTTCCTCATATAAATAAGGGGTTTCTACCTGTTTGTTGTTTTAATAAGTTTATTAAGAAGTTCGAGTTATTCAATATTTTAGCCCAGAAAATGCCGAAAGCTTATGGTTTTGGAAGAGTTGAAAAGGTTTTGGAAGGTCACAGATACCTCCTTGGGAGTATATTGAGTTTCTCAGAAGAAATCAACGACCACAGGATAGAGATATTCTCTCGTTTTAAGTCTATTATTCAAAATGACTGGATTCGGTTTTATGGAAGAATTCAAAATGGTTTGATAGATTGTGAATATTGTGAGGCCATGAAGTTTGTGGACTTTGAATTGGTCAGAGGTGTAATGAAGAAGTTAAAGGAAGAGAATATCGATAATTACTTCGAATGAACATTTAAACATATATTTGGTGTATATATTAGATATAATTGTTATTCTTTCCATTGTTATAAAATTCTTTAACACAAGGAACATTACTTTTGAAATTGATTTTAAAGCCTGAAGCTGTAATTTAAATATAAAAACGAAACATAATTTGTCCTTAAACCCTGCACTTTCTTGTTACTTGAAGAAGATAGATTCATCGTACAAATAATATTAGAATATAATAAAACATCAGTGAAGATACTTGCAGAATATTTATTAATACTTTCGAAAATAAATACATACATTTCAAGAAAACTAATCTTCTTTCTTACCCATAGTAAGTTTATAGACCTTTAGAGCCATTATTCCCACGCTTATACTTATTGATAGGAAAGAAAAGATCCTGTAAGCACTGTTTTTAGAAGCCAGAATCATAAACAAAGCGGGGAAGAAGAAACTAAGAGGATTGGTACAGAAAGTACTAACTAAATCTAGGATAGAATCAGGATTTATATCCTTATCTCCATATAAATTGGGCAAGAACAAACCAACTATCAGAGCTAAAACGATATAGGTTCTTTTAGGTCTAAACTGCTCGAAAGACAACAGATTCTCAAACACTGGAATTGTTGGAAATGCACAGCACGTTACACCTACAGTAAAAATAACACAAAACGCAACCAGAAGTAATTTAAATGCGTACAGTATAACCGTTTCTGATTCTTTGTTTTGAGAGAAGTGTAAAAATGGATTTTCAGAGGGAGACTCGATAATCAAATCTAGAATCATTTTGTCGTAGAGCTCCTTACCAGCAGCTTTATAACCAAAGAATCCTGCAGATCCATAGAGACATACAACAATTGCAATTGCAAAGGTTGCAACTTTCGAGACAGACCTCATAGATCTATCAGACATAATGTGTCTAATTTCTAGGAAGGAAAACTGGCAGTGCATGGCAAATAGCATTAAGCTGACTGCAAAGTCATATCTCCCCTCCAAATTGACAGCCTTGATTTCCTCAAAGGGCTTTCCTTTGAAAATACCAAGAGAAATCATTAGACCAAGATAATATAGAGCCGAAAACATTGACAAGTATGAAAGTGGGGAGAGTGAGCTCAAAGATTCCAATAGAAGCATTCTAAAGGAGAATATGGATAGAAGTGCTAGAACAACCTTTCGGCAGATTTCACTGTCCACACTTTTCGGGAGAATCTGGCAAATGAGAATAGAGGAGTACTTAGCAGCTCGACGTAGAAAAATAAAGCAGGTTCCTAAGTTAGATATCGAAAATGTTAGGTCCACCACCAGTTTAAGTTTCTTCGAAAACATTTCTGCAACAGAGGAGTAAGTCTGTTCCTTGTCTCCTTTCGCTGATTCGGCTGCATAGCTGAGAGAGTATATGGAATACCAGTTCAGGAGTCCGATCATAGCGACAACAATCCATGCAGTAAGATATCCCAATTGATTGAATGAGGCAGGCATAAATAATATTCCAGATCCCAACGTTGATGACACTATCATGATTGTTGCAGATTTCTTTGAAATTGTCGTCATAATAGGGGTGATTTTGAAAATTAATAAATTATCCCAAAGGAGAAATCCAATCTCAGTTTATTCCCAACTTTGAAAACAGTGGTCAGACATTACAATTTTGGCACCGTATATGTCTAAGCATATATTCAGTAAAATCAAATTTATATTAATTTGCCAGTTGAAGTAGATTAAAAGATAAATTAATAACGATCAAACAACAGAAATAATTAATAAAGTGAATTTCAGAAATTTATTGCATGTAGTTTATGAAGTGTTTTAGCAGAATGGCGCCAGAATATTAATCCTTTGTAAATTATGATATTGTGACGTGTATCAAATATTTCTAATAGGGATGCATGTAGTAGTTAAGTAAAGGGCTTAGCTGTCTAAAAGAAATGGGCAATACCAATATTGGAGTTGAAATGGTTAGGGTAGTTGATGACTTTTGACATTAATAAATATGAGCAGATAAGCTATGGCCTTTTATTTTGTCGACTTGTTTCGAACCTATTAACAAAAGTAGTGTGTTATTTATTTTGATGAGCCACAACAATTTTATAATTTCGGATATTAATGGCCGTTTCAATTCGTTACTTCGTGAACACGACTATAACACCCTAAGGCAGTGTAAGACCCTAGAAGATCTTACAATAAAGCTGAATCAGCACTTCCCCTTTATAAATGAAGATGTCGGGCTAAAAGAGTTTAGACAGAGATTTGTTGAAAATATCAAATATGAATTGAAGGAATTCGATATCGATTTAAAGAGTGATCATGCAAAGGGAAAAGAAACCATGGATTCTAAGAGTATGTTAATATACTTTATAGAGTACTACAGAATCATTAGTTTCTTCAACCAACTACAGAATGTACCTCCCAATAGCCTGGGACTATTTCCAGAACTGAAGTCAATCGGTTTGTGTAAAACTTTTAAGGATGTTGAGAAGCTGTGTATAAACAACTGCTTTCTAAAGGAGTATTTTGCAGAGATTCTAACACCTGGGTCCATTCCTATAGATATCCCTCTGGCTGAGGGGAACTACCAGACAACTTTAATAAAAATCATAAAAATTCATATGGATGGGTTTTACAGAAAGGCAGTGGGATTTTTCAGAGAAATCCTAGAGATTGAGGGGGATAGGCAGATACTGGAGATCTGCTTAAATGGAAGAAGCTTAGAGAATAAGGCCCAATACTTTCCTGAAGCATCCACTCTAAGTCGGAGTGATTTGGACAAGTTAGGGAAGACTAATGAGGTTGACGAAATCAAGAAGGCCTTCCAGGCAGGAGATGTCGAGCCCAGAAAGTATATTGGGGATAAAATTAGTAAGACATATGTCGAGTCATTTAAACAGTTGAATGATATATCGTGTCTATATGCCTACTTCAAACTGAGAGAACAAGAAGCAGAGAATGTTCTGTGGATTGTAGAATGCATTCTTCAAGGCTATGAAGAGCATATTAATGAAATATCAACATTTGAAGATTAGAGTTAATAAATTAGCACTCAACAGTCATGTACATTCACATACCACCGTTTATGGAAGGCAGTATATCAAAAATATTTATTCCTTATCAAATCCTATCAAGACTATTGCATTCCACGAATCTGTCTTTATTTCTTTTACCCCTTAAAATGTCTTTTACTTTTCATCAACATATTTTGACAGCCATTTGCGAAAATATTGAGGAGGACAGCCATACTTGTTTCAAGACAGCAATGAAGGCACTTAAGTCACAGATCAAACAGAACCCATCCTCTCGTGTCGATGGAGATGTTATCTATGATACGGTAGAAAATCCATACAACTTGCCGAAAGTCAAGGACGTAGAAAAGAACAAAACACGATGGGAGAAATTTGCAGAAGAGAAGGGGATCAAGAACAGAAATCGAAGCCGTAGGGAATTCAGTGAAGAGACACAGAGATGGGAGTTCAAATTTGGGAGTAAGAGCGTTCAGAATCAGAAGTTACAAAGTGGACTGGTGGAATTAGAAAGCGGAAGTATAAGCCAGGTGAAACGAGATAAACAGAAGAGAATAAGCAAAAACATTAAGAACAGAGAGGCCAATAAAAAGAGACGGCTGGGAGTGAAATAAATTATATTAAAGCGAAGTATTGTATTTATTGTTTTCGACATAATAAGTTCAGTGTTCATAACTGTAGATATGCAGAGGCTTCCTATAGAAATGAACAAATTGAATAGTATCATTTTATGAGATATTTTAACCTTTTAGTAACAGCTAAATCCAAAGATCACCATCTTAGTATATATAATTTAATAATTCATGTGGTATAATAGTTTATCCTGTTATTTCGACACTTGCATATGATTGATAAAATAGAGGAAATAATATTTCCAAAAAATTGCCACTGATAAACCGTAATAATCTCTCCAAGTGTATCCTATGTATCTGTATCGTCTTCAAATTCATTAACTCTTCGGTAGTTATGTCAAATCCAATGCATAGACTCACCCAGCTGAGTAATACCAAATTGGCGCCTCCAAAGATAAAACAAATGAATTTGATGTCAGTTTTAAGAAAGATATTTATGAGATAGAGTAGTGTGAATAGGAGTAGAAAGTAGAAATCCTTTAGGTTATTCTGTGCTATGCATTTTCCTAATAACAAACAGTGGTGATCTCTTCTGTTATAGCACTTATTGCAGATGTTACAATGTTTGGTCTTATAGCCACGAACCCGATTGCACTTATTACAGATACCCTTGACAGCAGCATTGCTTATATCAAACAATGATCCCGGACTCTTGGTGATCACTATGAGATAGTATGAAAAAGAAGTAAGAATAAGGTAGAAGGCAAGAAGACTTTGAATATGAAACAATGAGTGCCATATTCCAAAGCAATATAGGGATATCGATGTTATAACTGCGAAATGCTGAAGCTTTTGAATAAGTTTATTGATAATTATATGCATGCTGGTTTTAAGGAGATATGTGAATAATGAAATCTATAAAAGGGGAATCCCAAAAGAGCTGATTTGTTGAGATGTGTGATGAAGGAATGAGTATGCCAATTATGGGCGTGAATGAAATATAATTCACCAATTCTTAATAATGTTCTCATGGTTTGAGTGAGTACTTTATGGTAGAGATATTTTCTTGTTAACAGGTTTTTAATTTTCTCAAAGTTGAAAATTTTTTCTCCACAGCCCTCATAATGGCCAAAAATAACTTGATTATTCAGAAAGCCAACAGTTCCTCCAACTCTATCAACACCTCAGCCTTGGGAATTGCCATAGATACCAACAACATCGATTTTCTGAAGGAATCTCTGTACGACTTGAAGACTTCCGAGCTAAAGGCACTGACAAGAAAGCAGAAGAGGAGTTTTTGCAATATATTGGTTGATTTTCTGAATGGGCCACTGAGATTAGAGGCAATGGACTGTATATATACAATAATCAATGAGGTTGGAGAAGTCGAGGGACTATGCGAGAAGCTCATTGATCGGAGTAGCGATTTCAGTAAATTAATTTATTTGAAGGGAAAGATAGACTATTTGAAATATAGGAAGAATCTTGTGGCCAAGAAGGTGGAAGCAGAGCATGAAGCTAGTGAGTAACAACGAGGATGGAGGAATAAAATGAATTATTTAATCTAAAAAGTACTGAAGTCATTACAACCAACTATTTATTATACATTAACAGTTCAATAATCAAATATATGTTTTTGGTGAGTAATTTCCTTATTAACAATACTACAGGATTTGTCACAGCGGTTTTGATTTATTTGAAACTGGTGTTTTAATGCATATGGACCAATAATATGTCCAGTATCTTATTAAAAACATAAAACCAATTTAGAATTATAGTGTCACACAATAAATTAATAGAATAGAAATAAATAATACGTCACTGCTTCTAATACACCTTGTTTCACTGTATTTGTCTCATCGATAATTGGTTCCTTCTGTTTTAGATTTGTTATAAATAAATTTTCAGAAGGACAGTTCAATGTCTGATAGTGGTAACCAAAGTACAGAGACTCCAGCTGTCGGTGGAAACAAGAAGAAGATGATGATGATTGCGGGTATCGTGATTGCATTGATTTTGATTGTAGTAATTGCCATAGCTATGTCAAGAAAATCAGAAGGTTCTGAAGCAGGATTGGCTGAATCAAAGAATGAAGGCAGCAGCAGCCTGGATGAAAAGGAAAAGAAAAAAGATGAAAATAAAGAGAATAAAAAACAGTCGTCAAAGCCATCGAAGGATGACTCCAATAATGGGTCTCAATAAATAATATTTCATAATTTTTTAATGGGGATATTCTAGAAAATACTTTAAAATCACTATATAAATATTTCACAATTCTTTAAAATCATTATATAAATGTTTTATTTCATAAAAACCCCCTAAACCTACTCCGAAACCAGCTTATAAACAAGATCGTCTATCGTAAATGATCCAACGTCAACATCGTTATCGTCTTGTAATGCATTCTGCATGTCCTTAAAAAGTGCCTTCAATTCATTATTATTCACCTTTGTAGAATCGACCCGTTTCAATCTGCGTAGTACCGCCTTCTTATCTGCCTGGATTATGCACTTTCCCTGGAGAATCGTCAATCCAGGCTGTGATTCAATATTCGAGACCAGCTTTGGAATTGCCATGGCTGAAATTACTATTTCCACCACATTATCATCTATATAGCCAATATTGGCCACACTGTCACGGTCTATTCCACATATATTTGCAATATAAGACTTAAGACAGGTAATTCTCATGTGGGGCAGCCCATCCACATATGCCAATCTATATTTGTTCTGAGTAATTACGGGAATGGTTTGTTTCCTAGTGATCTTGTTGGTACTGTCGGAAACCTTAGTAGACTCACTGTCACTAGCATAATCATAGCCATTGATCCCATCTGTCTTATTAGAATGTCCCCTTTCTGCCTCTTCACTTATTTTCATGGTCGAAAAACGATCCGAAAATAATGCTGAATTCAAATTGGAGCTGCCAATCA